CTTCACCTTTATTTTTTGATATTTTCATGCAACATTATATTATTTTTATTTTTTCTGTGCAGGTGGGTTAGAATACCCCCACCGTAGCCCTGGGAGTCGTGAAAGACGACGAAAAGGGAACCTGGTGCGTGGGCCACCCTGTCCCTGGGGGACATAAATTCAGAGACCTGGTCCTCCAGATTGGGGTTTGGACACAAGGCTTACGACCTTGCTCTGTAAGAAAATTATTGTTGGAAATCTGAACTAGTGCAAACCAGATATTATAATTCACGATAAATTTGGTAGAATCTTGTAAGGAAAGCTATATCTCCAAAATGGTTGTTTTGCCAATTATTAGTATTATTTTGTAAGTAGTCTTCTATGTTTGTCAGAAGCATCTTATTGATAATACTAACAACTACTGTAAAATTCAAGAAACTAATCCGACCTACTCTGTTCAAACAAATCCACCTCATTATAAACCAATTCGACGTTCCCTTCACATATCTTCCTTCATATCCAAAGTATAAAAAAAATAAACAAGAAACGACGATTAATTATCTACTTACCAGAATATGGCACACTCCTGGTTTCATTCCAATATTCCTCCACCTGTCCGGATTAACACAAAAAACACTGACCACCGCAACACCTAACACTTATCAACAATAACAAACTGAGCGTTAGCAATCGTCAGCATGATACAGAGCCACTGTCGGCGAGCTCACTGCAAGCTTATTGCCCACCAATCCTCCGGAGATTGAGGTTTCCGCATTGCCGTAACGCAAGGAAAAAAATTAGTATAGATGGAAACTAGGTCAGTCACATTGGAGGTGGGGAGGTCAGATACCGTTACGAGAAGTCTCTGTTGTGGGGATGTGTGTCACGACATACTATGAGGCCCGACTCCAAGTTCAAGAGTAAACAAGACCGCGACGGCAGAGGATGTACTTTCAGGTTGTCGTGTTGCTGCACATTAATATGTCCACCACTTTCGCTAGAGGACGGAAAGGGTGGGCATTTTCAATGGGACGGAAAAATTATTGGTAGTGTAACGGAGCTTGTATTACTTTTTAGTCAATCAGTGTGTCACAGTCGAGCCGGTAGAACTCAGTCATAATGACTGGCTACAGTCTGGACAGCTGAGGTTAAATTCGCAGAAGACACAGTCATTTTTCTTTCCGCCACTACGTCCAAACCGGCTCTATGGCCCAACCAGTCTTCCATCAGGGATAATGTAGCAGAAGCATGTAGCTTGTCTACGCTCTTATATGCCTTCATAGCTTGGTACTTAGACAAGTAGTAACTTTATCTTTATCTTTACTTTTATATCATCTGGGTCCTGTCTGCCCTCCTATTTACTGGGTAACAAGGGCTTCCTCAAGGCCAGAACGTGAAGCTTTACCTCCACGCCCATACATGCCTTCAGTAACCTTACTTTTCTATTTACCTTTATTGCTGCTCTGTGTAACTGATAACGGAAGATATTCTTTAGGTCATAAAGAGGCCGGAGCGTGAAACAGACAATATACCTCCGTCTAGTGCCGAGGTCTGGAAGGCGAGAAGCTGTATCTCCATGTCAGCAGAGGATCAACGATAACATTAATAGTTCAGTTGATGAAGAAGATCTCTGCCTTTAAGTAATTTGAAAATGCAAGATTTTTTTTTCAAAAGAGTCTGTCTGCCATAGGGCATTATCCTGATCTACTTCAATCCACATCACATCTTAATAGGCTATATCTCTGTGATCCATTTCAATATTATCCCCCCATCCTTGGAGGATTTCAGACCAAAATTTTGTATGCCTTTCTCAATTCCCTGATACATCCTTTATGTATAGTTTCATCCTTCTTGTAAGATTTGAGGCTTTCACGGCGGTGCCTATGAAGAGAGAGAGACCGTGAGAACCGGTAAAAGCCGGTTCTCACGGTCTCTTCGCTTGCAGATTTCTTATATTTTTCCTTCTACCATGAAGATGGAGGCGATACGTTCCTCCGAAACGTCGGTTAACACCACATATACAAGGTGCCAATCCCAGAAGACTGCTTTCTTCATCCTTCTTGTTATAATGAACCTGAAAACAACAGGTGAATCTTTTTTAAACATAGGTTTTAGTGGGAAATACATTCTGATATAGGATTAATAATTTATTTACAAATTATTTTTTCATAAATCAAATAGTCAAGATGTGCGTGTTTCTGCCATTAATTTATTTTGCGATTTCTGATGAACATTTTCACTTAAAGAACATAGTACATAATTTGCCGAGTATACTGTGCACATTATGTACCCAGTTTCTACCAAGTTATTACGGCTATTTCTATTCAGAATTGCTTAACTTCAAAACGTATTTCAGAGTCTAAAAATCTGAATGCGAACATAAGGCTGCGGGTGTTTGAGAATATTTGGACCAAAGAGAGATGAAGTGACAGGAGGTTGGAGGAAACTGCATAATGAGGAGCTTCATAACTTGTACTCTTCTCCAAGTATAATTAGAATGATCAAGTCAAGGAGGATGAGATGAGCGGGACATTAGTACGAACGGGGAGAGAAGGAATGTATACAGTATATTGGTGCGAAAGCCAGATGGGAAGAGACCACTGGGAAGACTAAGGCATAGATAGGTGGGTAGACAATACTAAAATGGGTCTTAGAGAGATAGGAGGGGATGGTATGGATTGGATTGATCTAGCTCAGGATAGCAGCAGTGGAGGGCTCTTGTCGACACGGTAATGAACCTTCGAGTTCCATAAAATGCTGGGAAACTCTTGAGTAGCTGCAGAATTGGCGGCTCCTCAAGAAGTGCTCAGCTCTATGAGTAAGTAAGTAAAATCTGACTGCGGATATATGTAATCTCATTAATGAAACGTGATTTTAACCGATTTTTTTTTCTTGGCACTACAGCCCCAGTGGGCCTAGGCCTACCTCCATTAACTTCTCCGTTCACTTCGGTTTTTCTAGATCTAACACATTCGGTAGGACTCCTTGGGCGGGTGATCAGCTCGTCGTAAGGTCTCTACCTGTATACAAACACAGAAAAACGCACACACACAAACTAAACATCCATGCCCTGAGTGGGATTCGAACCCACGATCCCGGTTTCCAAGCGAGCGAAGACAGTACATGCCTTAGACCGCTCAGCTTCCGTGACCGGCTTTAACCGATTTTTACTGTTTTATATTTCAAGAAAATATGTTTATTACTGTACTATGCAAAAGTGGAAGAGAGTCTACGCGTAGTGAAATTATTCAAACATCTGAGAATCGATTTCCGTCCCACAGGAATAGCATCCGGCAATAGCTGCCTCCAGACCAAAATATAACATTATGAACTCGATTTGCTTACGCTAGAAACGACCCTGACACTTCCTGACCTGAAGATAGTCCCGGTGTTTACATGTCTAGAGCTCTTCTGGAACAATTTAACAGAAAATGACTTAGGAATGTTGAAGAACGTGAAAGAGTCCTGTCTGAAAAAGGTCCTACGTTTATCAAAATATGTGTTGTCTTGTACGTGTCCTCGCTAAGGACATTTTTCTCAACGAGGATGAGGACATGGAAAACGACCTCCTGCTGCCATGTACTAGGGCATCAGAAAGGATGTCGCAGGACATGAGAAATAAAGAGGCTTCAGTCTGGGAGGAATTCTGTGGCACCCACGCAATGATCTATCAGAATTGGATTGAACCCAACTATGAATCGCGGCATGTAGCCTCCACATAGGATCCACTACAAAATCTGCAGTAACTTCTTTCCACACTCCAACAGAGACCTAGGGCCTATATGTAGCTGCAATACGAGTATGGTAAAATTTGTTCAAGATTCCAGACCGGCTCTGGAACCCAACCTGACTCCTATCCAAGGGGCTCCGAGGCCTGTTTCCCGGAGGTAAATCGGAAAGGCATGAAGCTGACCATTCACTTCCATCTAGTGCCGAGGTTAAGAATAGTGGAGCTATACCTCCACTCCCCCTTATGTCTCCATGGCATGGTGCTTAACTAATTAAACATAGCGATAAATTTTCTGAATGTTCCGAAACATCCATATTGTGCACATTACCCATTTATTATTACGGGATAGCTCAGTCGGTATAACGAATGGCTACGGGCTGGACGACCGAGAGGTAGGAGTTCGAGTCCCTGTAGGGTCAAGAATTTTCACTTCTTCATATCGTCCAGACCGACTCTAGGGTCCACCCAACCTCCTATTCATTGGGTACCTGGGACTCTTTCCCGGGGGTAAAGCGGCCGGGGCGTGAAGCTAACTACTCGCCTCCTACTAGCGCCGAGGTCAAGAAAATGTGGATCTATAATCCACTTCCCCATACGACTTAATGGCGTAGTGCTTAATTAGTTAAGCGCAGGAACAGATTTAGCTTTTATCTTATTATTATTATTAAAACAAGAGGCAATATAATGTGCTGTCACATTACTTACTTACTTACTTACTCATGGAGCTGAGCCCTTCTTGAAGAGCCGCCAATTCTGCAGCTACTCAAGAGTTTCCCAGCGTTTTATGGAACCCGAAGGTTAATTACCGTGTTCACAAGAGCCCTCCACTGGTCCCTATCCTGAGCCAGATCAATCCAGTCCATATCATCCTATCTCTCTATGATCCATTTTAATATTGTCTACCCACCTACGCCTTGGTCTTCCCAGTGGTCTCTTTCCTTCTGGCTTTCCCACCAATATCCTATATGCATTCCTCGTCTCCCCTTTCGTGCTACATGTCACTTCATCCCTCTTAGGTCCAAATATTCTCCTCTGCAGCCTGTTCTCAAACACCCTCAGTCTATGTTTCTCCCTTTATGTCAGAGACCAAGTTTCACACCCATACAGAACCACAAATGTGCTGTCACATGCACTAACTAGATGATAAGCATTATGGTAAGCAAGGTGCTGTCACATGTTTAACATAATGCTTATCATCTAGTTAGTACAACTTCAGCACTGCCGCATGCACGTGGGATACCAATAAGCAGATTCTCGAAAACATAAATCTGAGTTTTTGTAAACATCTATGTGAATTGCGTTTAAGTCGAAAGAATGCCATAAAATATGAAAAAAAAAAAGAATATCAAATTTTCGCTAGTTCCTAACGAAACAGAAAACTGTTTTAATTATGACCTAGCAATCCCCGCGCAAATGGGCGTGCCTACTAACATATGGCAGAAATTGATTCGGTCATCAGCCTGTTATAATATACGTACATCATATGAAGGCGCTACTCGTAAAGTCGCAAACAAGCAACGTAGCAACGCCATTTATTTTTGCGTTCGTACACAAAACCGACAATTGGCGCCGTCCACGACTTTACGGTGAACTCCCAGCACGCACGCCCACTCAAAGCCATCTCACTGCCACATTTAAATAATACAAACATATGTGTATCGCCTGGGGCGATATGCATAACATGTTTTACATAAGGCCTACAAGTATGCATGTACAGGAACTTTCTGACCATTATATAGCGAAATAAATGAAGAGATAAGACGTCGCAGAAAAAACAGGTCTCAAACTATCAACCATTGTGAAGTTGTCAGAAATGTGTCTGCTACCGTTGATACAGTGTAACAAATTTGCTGACAGTTTTCGTGACCATATATGTGTACACGTATGTTAGTTACTTGTCAGTAAGCGATAAACACCAGAACATCAAAAGACTGCCACAGAAGTGATGCGTTTCCGAAATTTGACATGGAATTCTAGTAAGCAAACCCAAATTAATATGCTTTTATCTGGAGAGACGATACGGAAACTGGTCCATATTCCAACCCTTAATTTCCAGGATACGAAGTACACGTAGATGTGACAACCATCACACCGCCTTCTTCAGTTTACAAAAAAAATGCACGCTATTCCTATGGCCCTATGGCCGCACTATGGCCCTGGGGTCGACTCAGCCGCTAACAGAAACGAGTACCAAGCATCTTCCTGGGAGAAGAGGGGTGCCGGCCGGCGCGTACGGCTGACAACGTCACCGC